CCTGGTGCACGAGGTCTGCCCCTATCAATTCTGCTTCACCTACCTCGAACAACCCGATCGGGGACCTACATCTTCTCCCGTACAATGCTTCAAATAGGGCCATCTGGATGCTAGCATGGAAGCTGTTGTTATAAGCAAACTCTATAAGGGGTAAGTGATCATCCCAATCACCCTTTAAATCCAAGACACATGCCCGTAACATATCCTCGAGCGTCTGAATAGTCCGCTCTACTTGACCATCGGTCTGCAGATGAAAAGTTGTGCTAAGATTCACTTGAGTACCCAAACCTTGCTGAAATTTCCTCCAGAAGTTAGCTGTGAACTGAGATCCTCGATTCGAAATAATAGAAAGCGGCGTACTATGAAGCCTTACTATCTCCTTGATATATAATCGAGCATATTGTTCTGTAGTATCGGTGGACTTGACAAACAAAAAGTGAGCTGATTTGGTGAGTCGGTCCACTATTACCCAAATTGAGTCGAACTTGTGTTGAGTGCGAGGTAGTCCTATCAAGTAGTACATTGGTATTTCTATGAGTTGAGTCAACCCACTGGGCCGCTTATGCTCGGCCTTCACTTGCTGACAATTCGGACACTTAGACATAAGTCCGCCACCCTCTTCTTCATAGCACCCCACCAATAGATTTTCCTGAGAGCGCGATACATCGTTGTAGAGCCTGGGTACACTGAATACCTAGAATGATGAGCCTCCGCCATTACCCTCTCCCGAAGATTAGCCACATCCGGGACACATAACTTACCATGGCACCGCAACACACCATCATCGCTGCCGAGTGAAAATGATGAAATTTTGTTGCTTAGAACTGCCTCCTTCAATAGTACCAATACCGGATCAATAAACTGCTTTTCTTTGACCTACGCTACGAGCACGATTCTGCTGTGTTATGCACCATAAGTTCCTCCTCATTCGGGGCCGAGATACAAACCCCAAGGCTGGCCAATTGGTGTACCTCCCCAGCTAAGAGCCTCTGATCCGCTCTCAAGTGAGCCAAGTTACCAATGGATTTCCGACTGAGGGCGTCAGCCACCACGTTCACCTTTCCTGGATGGTACAAGATGCTCATGTCATAATCCTTAAGCAGTTCCAACCACCACCGCTGCCTCAAGTTTAACTCCTTCTGCTTAAACAAATATTGAAAACTCTTGTGGTCCGAGAACACATCCACATGGACTCCATAAAGGTAGTGCCGCCATATTTTCAGGGCGAATACAACTGCTGCAAGCTCCAAATCATGCATCGGGTATTCTTCTTGTGATTCTTGAGTTGCCTTGAAGCATATGCTATGACCTTCCCATGCTGTATTAATAAACATCTCAAGTCGACCTGGAGGCATCACAATAAACCACAAATCCCTCTGTGCCTTCCGGCAAGGCCAATACTGGTGCCGAGGTCAACCTCGACTTCAATTCCTGAAAACTTTTCTCACAAGCATCGGACCACTGAAACTTGACTGATTTCTGTGTCAATTTAGTCAATGGGGAGGTGAGGATGAAGAATCCCTCTACAAACCTCCGATAATACCCTGCTAAACCCTAAAATCTACGGATCTCCATCGGGGTCGTGGGTTTAGGCCAATCCTTCACTGCTGCAATCTTTTGGGGGTCCACCTGAATCCCCTCACTGGGAACAATATGACCTAGAAAAGCGACGGACTCCAACAAAAATTCACATTTGGAAAACTTGGCATACAAATGGTGCTGATGAAGAGTCTGCAAAACTGCTCTGAGCTGATTGGCATGCTCCTCCCTGCTCCGCGAATACACGAGGATGTCGTCAATGAAGACAATCACAAAGGAGTCTAAAAATGGCTTGAAGACCCCATTCATAAGATCCATAAAAGCCGTCGGGGCGTTGGTTAGCCCGAAAGACATGACCAAGAATTCAAAGTGGCCATAACGAGTTCTGAATACGGTCTTGGGAATATCCTACTCTCTGATCTTCAGTTAGTGGTACCCGGATCTCAAATCAATTTTGGAGAAGAACCTTGCACCTTGCAATTGGTCGAACAAATCATCTATCCGAGGCAATGGGTATTTATTTTTGATGGTAACTTTATTATGCTACCGATAATCGATGCACATCCGAAGCAACCCATCCTTCTTTCTGACAAAAGAACTGGAGCAACCCATGGTGACACACTTGGCCGAATAAACCCTTTATTTAATAAATCCTTCAACTGCTCCTTTAACTCTCGTAACTCTGCTGGCACCATTCTGTACGGTGGAATAGATATTGGTTGGGTATCTGGTAATACATCAATCCCGAAATCAATCTCCCTCTCGGGCGGAATTCCTGGAAGCTCATCTTGAAATACTTCAGGGAACTCATTCACAATTGGCACGGACTCGGGGGTAGGCACTTTTGAAGTGGTGCCCGCCACCCGGACCAAATTATAAATGCACCCTTTCCTGATCATCATCGAAGCTTTGAGGTAGGAAATAAACCTACCCCTCGGCACAACGCCATTCCCTTTCCATTCAACAACCGGCTCATTAGGGAACTCGAGTCTCATGACCCCAGTCTGGCAATCAAGTTTAGCAAAGAACGAATAGAGCCAGTCCATTCCCATGATTACATCAAAATCCACCATCCCAAGCTCGATAAGATCGGCCGTGGTAACATGACCAAATACCATAACCATACAACTCCTATAGACTCGCGCGGCTATAATAGAATCACCAACCAGAGTCGATATAGAGAACGACTCAAGAAGCTGTTCGGGTTCAATCCCAAAACTCAAAGCAACAAATGGAGTAACATAGGACAAAGAAGACCCCGGATCAAAAAGAGCATAGCAATCAATGGTCTGGACAAATAGGATACATGTGATAACATCTGGGGAAGCCTCAGCACTCTAACGACCACTCAATGCATAAAACCTGCTAGGTCCGCCCCTACCACGAGCTCCACCTCTGGCTGCACCATGCCCTGCTGGGGCTGGAGGACGCACTGATGACGTAACAACTGATGAACTGGATGGCTGAGCAAGTCCCCTACCCATGCCTTTTCTGGGCGCACGACAGTCCCGCTCTATATGACCTCTCACCCCACAATTGTAACACACCGGAGCATCCAAGTAACAGGCCTCTGTATGAAACCCCCCACACTTGGGACATATACCTCCCTGCTGTCGAGGCCTCATCCCCGAATGACTGAACTGGCGAGGCATCCTGCTGTCTGAACCTAGCCCCGAAGGGTACCCTACTGGTAACAGCGCGCGGATGGCGGTGCACTGGTTGAGGACTGAGCATAAGACTGAGATGGTCCAGATGACCCTCTCCCTGGAGCTGACCTCCCTGAGTGACCCATCGACCGGGCCCTGCTGCTAATCTTCCTGTCCGCCCGAATCATTAACTTTCTAGTCTCTGTGGCCTGAAGGAAACCCACAATCTTTCCGTAGTTCATGTCTGAATGCAAAGCCGGTGTAGCAGCCTCATTTGCTACCAATGGACTGAGATCCTGAACAAATCGCCGAACTCTAGCCTCCATAGTCAACACCAACTGA